CGTCCATTTCATCCGTGCAGCTTTGTAAAGAATCAGTAAGTCATTTAATGAATTATGGATTTCAAAAGTAGAGACTTTAAGCTGTGAAATGCTTTTTCGATCGTTATGTTATGATAATTTTTGACAAAGTTGCTCTATCTTGAATTTTTAGAAATTATCGATATATTAACGCAGTGTCCGGTCAATTAGTTTGGTGACTGTATATATTTTTTTATCCTTTGAAAGATGTACATATTGTGTAACACCTTTTCAAAGGGATTGTGCTTCAAAAGCGAATAAACGAAAATCTCTATTTTAACCCTAAACCAATATTAAATATTAAACAAAATTTCTATGTAAAGTAGGAATTCTTCTTAATTAATATTCTTTATTACAATTTTCTGCATAATTCTTTTAATACTCAAAGTAATGTGTAATTATAATTAACAAATTATTGTTTAAGAATTTATTAAATTTACACAAATAATATCAATTGATTATAATATATATTATTTATGTAAGCTTCGCTGATATGATGAGATCGAAAAATATAATATTGGTATAGAAATTAATTACAGAAATTAATTCGAACTGCAAAAAGTTAAAGGCTGCATGTGCTTTAATCATTCCACACTCCGCAAGACTAATCATTCTACAATCGTATTATCGATTATTTCTAAGAATACCACTCACGATAATCACTAATACTTTTTTTTTTTTATGCAACATGAAGAAACGAGCCAGTTACGCACGATTGCGAATGCAGTATTGTGCCCACGCACGATGCCGTTTATAGTGGTTCACGTTCGGTATTTCCGGTCACGCGATTGTCCGGTCCTTAATTAATTGTCGCCGCGCTCATCGACCGATCACATAGCATGGAAAGTATGCCGCGCATGAAATTTTCCCTTTCGCTCTCCCTTTCCTGAGTTTTCGAAATCGCCCAGTATGTTATTTAATCGATGTGAATAACGGAATGTTAAACTAACGAAACATATATTCGTATACGAATGTGTCTATCGCCTCGAGAAGCGCGGTGTATACATTTCACATTTCTTCCGGTGACAGAAACCGGAAGTCGCGCGTAACGCACATCACCC